AGTAGAGCCACGGCCTCCGGACGCCGATCCTCCTCGACCTGTGGGGCCACTGCCGCGACCCCGCCCTCCACCACGAGCATACTGTGCTGGAAAACCGATGAGCTCAAAACATGTATCAACGGTATGATTAGTGCGACCACAATGCGAACAAGACCTGTTTGGAACAAGAGGGCGTTTGTCGGATCGGGCAGCGAAAGCAACGGTGTCCGTGCGATCGCCCCTAGTGCGAAAAATATGACGATGGCGCTCCTCCTGGGTAACCAAAAAATACACACGATCGAGATCGGGCAGCGGTTCAGTGCCTATAATCTGAGAACGGATATTCCCAAACTGCTCATCATCCAATCCAAGCAAAAAATCCACGGTTTTGTCACGATCAATACGGGTACGAATAACCCCTGCGGCCTCACACCGGCAGCCCCCGGTAAGATCAGAGGAGCCATACAATTGATTCCACAAAGTAATAAATTGGTTGTAGTAGGAAACAACACTTTGACCTTTCTGACGTAAAGAATTTAACTCTGACTTTAACTGGTACACACGAGGCCCATTAGAACAACTATAACATTTCTTCAAATCATCCCACAATTCATAAGCTATTGAGTGAGAAACAATACTGGGCTGGATAGATTCATCAACACTGTTAAAAATCCAACTACAAATAATTTGATGATTAGCACACCATGCAGACAATTCCTGTTCATCAGTAGGTTTAGGAACACCTCCGGATGACAAGAAAACAGATTTCCCACGACCACCTAAAGCATTACGGATCGCCTTCTCCCATACATCAAAATTGTCACTTTTAAGAAGATATTTTGTCAAGGAATTACCCGGGCCTTCGGAGGGGTGAAGGTAATATATGGAAGAAGGATCATGAATGAGCCGAGTCTTTTTAGGGTTGGAGGCGACGACTTCACCGGACATACTGGCGGACGGCGATCGGAAGAGCCGGCGACGAGAAGACAACGACGACGAACAGCGAACAAGACAGCGACGGAGGAGGGCTGACGGACACCAGACTCCGACGCACTATCGACGAACAGACACCGCCGAATCGGACGGCGAAAACTCCTGGTCGGCACACACACAAGCGTAGGGTTTCGAGACTTTGCCCTAGGATCGCTCCGATACCATGTAGAAATATTTTACGTGAAACTGAGTTTTCCATTAGTCACCGGGAGTTTATATACAAAGCCGAGAATACAAGTCACGGGCCCAAGCTATACACCGGCCCAACACACAATAAACATATGCACATAAAATACTAGGCTAACATATTTCTCTACATTTAAATTAATTTTTTTACTTATCTGAGTGCTTGTTTGAGATAAAATTCACTTATTTTTCATGATTTTAAATTGACATAAAAAACAGGAGGTGCTGCCCAGGAACCCCTGTTTTAGCCATTAATATAAGAGTGCCCTAAGTCATATTTATTCTTATATCCGCCACTGCTTGTTATTTTAACAAATGTGCTCGTCAATTAAATTTTATATTTTACACATAAATGTGAGTATAATAGAAAATTAAAGTATGAAATAAATATTCTTTTATTAAAAAATAATTGTAGAATAAAAGAATATAGTAAAAATAAGGTCATGTTTGATGTTAATGGGATGGGTATGCATTAAAAACGAGCTAGGGTGTTTAGAGGGTGTTTGGGAGTGTGGTGAGTTATGTAAAAGTAGAAGTCATAATTTAGAAGCAGAAAACATGTATTTTTAGTTTTGCTAGAAAGCTCTTCTAGACCTTAATTTTAACTTCTGCAGCCATAATTTATAAGCTAAAGCAGACGAGCAAACATTTAAAATTGTGTTTTAGTAGAGTAGAAGCTATAAATTATTTTCAAAGGCAATCCCAAACACCCTCTAGTCATTTTGTTTGGCTTGGAATTCCAAATAAGAAATTGAAAAGTTGAAATTTAGACGCTATCGAAAAACGGTCCAGTTCCAGTGACACCAGAGAACGGTGCCACTGGGTTTTGGGGCACCTCCGGTGCTCCGCTCGTAAAATTGACGGTTCCTACCCCCAACCCAACCCCTAAACCCCCACCCTACCCCACCCCTGCACCCCCACCCCAACCCCGCCGTAACCCCCCACAAAATGTGTGGCTATTATGCAATGCATAATAGCCACACATTTTGTGGGGGGGTTACGACAGGGTTGGGGCGGGGGTGCAAGGGTGGGGGTAGGGTGGGGGTTTAGGGTGTGGGTTAGGAGGGTAGGAACCGTCAATTTTTGAATGGAGCACCGGAGGTGCCCTTTTGTAACACCGCTAGTGACACCGTTCTCCGGTGTCACTAGAACCGGGCCGATCAAAAAAATGAAAAAAATAATTGGGACGGAGAAATCAAATAATTGGGTGGGAGTACTTCCTACATTCATATTTGATCATTATGACTTTTGAGATTTATAAAACAATTAATTAATATAGATCAGTTGTTTATTTATAGTTACTCGAGTAATTAATTCTTGATGTGTTTCAAAAATTATAATAATCAATTAAATTTAAACAAAAAATGGTCAGTAATTCCGGTCTAACATCTTGTGAGTTGTGACCATCATTGAAAAAAAAGGTGCCGTATTTCAAAGGTAAAATTGTCCTTCAACACATTTTTTCTACATGGCATTTATGAGTGTGTCTCAACTTTTAAAAATGTTTTTGACTCTAAGCCTATTTATTATCAATCTCAAATATTATGCGGAGCTGGACTTTATTTATCCCCTTTTCTATCGGCAAAATCTCCTAATATCATGTGCCAAATGACCCTTTTTTTAAGAACTTTTATATACTACCCCCCGGCGTATTAGTTCTGTTACAAGTTTTTTTTTTTAAAAAAAAAAGAGCTTTGTTACAATATAGTAACCGTTGATTGTGTTTAGGTGAATTAAATTTGTACCAAATGGTACTAGGACATATGTCATTTTTCAATGTAGTACTTACATTTTTTTATGAGCCCGGTTCTATGGCCACTGGAATCCAGTGGCCATAGAACCGAGCTCTTTTTTTATTCTCTAAATAGTACTTGGATAATGTCTAGTGACGGAAACAATGCCCGGTGATGGTGAACATTTAATTTGAACAATGTCCAGTGTCTGGCGGCGGGCATTGACTTGAACAATGACCACCGGTACTACATTGAGAAATAAAAACCTATGGTACTACATTGAAATATTCCCCTTATTATTTTCCAATTTTTCTTTTTTATATACGGAGTATATAAGAGGTGTATGGTGCAATAAACACTAATATTATATGTAGTTTGTTTTCTTTACTTGTAAAAGAACAAATAATTGACACTTTGATATGTACCAAAAAATATTGGCACTTTGAATGCAACTATTCTTTTACTCCCCATATTTGAAGGTTTGTTCTTTGTTGAGACAGTGCTCAAAAGTTGTGTTTTTTCCGTAATCACTTTGCTTGAAATATTATACTTATTAAAAAGAATCAAGTGTGGAAGGAAGGAGTGATGGTGGGCACTTGAATTGGGCAACGCCCCTTCACACTATATATGTAATGGATGGGGCGGGGACGTGAGTAAGAGGGCGGTCGAGCCCCTCCTCACGCTCCATAACACATGGCCTAATGCTATGATTCCATCAGATATTCTGTAATATTTCAAAAAAAAATCACAAAATCCAAGCGGACTTTTAGGTGCCTTGATCACAGATTTCATAATGGAAGAATTCATCACAATGAAGATGATAGAAAGAGTTAGTGGGAGAGAATAGAGGAGAGAATCCAAAAGCAATGTCATCCTGGATTATTACAGCATTTGCAAGAATATAAAAAGGCTTTTAGTAGCTGGCGAACCATGACAAATGTAGGGAGCACCATGTCTTTATAATCTCTGTAAACACTCAGCTAATTATACTTTAAAATTTGAAGGAAAAAAAAACTAAAACCAAAAATCCTACAGGTTTCTAGTGCTACAGAAGGAGAACGCCTTGGCATTAATACAGAGAGAGCTCAAGGACAATTCTACTTTCAGAATTCCTAATCAAAGCATGGTTACAATCGGATGGAACACCGGTTAGGATATGATGAAGTTTGGGTATTCCAAAAGACAAAATACACAACATTTAAGGCATGAGTGGGTGGAGGCATCGGCGAACCGCGCTGCGTGTGTTTCAGGCCTCTATGCCATGACTGGAAGGCTGCTGTGTTTCATCCTTGGAGGCACCACCAGCTTCATCTTCCTCCTCGTCTCCCTCTTCGGCTAGTTTGGTGAGCTCATCTTGGATTATGAGTTTTATAGAAGCCTTTCTTGATGAGAAGTCTTTGTTAAACTGCTTGCCTGCAACATAGTCAGAAATCATTTATGAGGAAGGCGTAACTTTATTTCTGCATAATGAATGAAATTACTGTGAGTAATATTATCATTTAGGAAGTCGTGGATATACCTAGTATCTTTAGAATGTCCGTGAAGGTGGCCTGCAATATCAAATTGAAAAAGGCCAATTATTTGTGCGTATTGGAAAAATAACACAGCTCGAATGAATTAAACACTTGCGAGAAAAGTCTAATGTTGTGATGCGTGTCATATTTAATTTCAGTTGGAAGATGATAGTCCAAAGATCTTTTAACATAATCCTAAATGTGTTTGAATACAAACAGACATATACTACGGGTATATATATACTATGTATATGTTTAGAGTAATATTTTCCAAATATTGAATGAAAAACGTAATTGTTTCAATTTTCAACTAATGAACACAGAAATTTATAGCGATGACCGCCCAAGTCATATTCAGATATAATTCAGCCTAATGATATGATCAAACATCAGATCCTCACCGTGTTGAAGTCCACTTCTTTAAGGATTTCACAAATGGATTCTCTCAAAACATCATCAGATGGCTTTAATTGAACTTCTTTTGGGGAATCCTTTGCTTTCATAACCTTCTTCCCTGAAATAAACAAACTCAATGTATAAAAATAGACATCAAGATTATCAAAATACAATGCAGTTCTTCTTGCACAGGGTTAGGAATGACTTTAATGCATGTTGATCATAACAAAATGAGACCACATGTTCAAATTTAAGTGAGGAGACTAGGCAACAAGAACACCAAATTTCATGCCTTTATTTTCTTTAGAAGCTGCCTTCTTTGGAGTTTGGGGCTTTTCTTTTGCTGTTTCACTTTTTTTCTTCTTTGAGGATGATTTTGTACTTGCATCATCATTGACTTTGGTATGACTTGAAGTTTTTGATGCAGTCTTTTTGGGCACACTAGGTTTTTTAGGGGTTGATATGTTCTTGGTCTTGGACTTCCCAGCAGAATCCTTCTTTGATGATGATTTAGTAGAAGCTTGTTTTTTCTTTGGTTCACCATCATCAGATTCATCATCAGATCCATTTGATTGCACCTTCTTTGACTTGCTCTCGTGGTTTTTCTGATCATCCTCGGACTCATCTTCAGATTCTTTTGGTGCTAATTTCCTTATTTTCGAACGCTTTTTCTTATCCTCTTCCGACTCTTCTCCAGATTCTTTTGGTGCTGACTTCCTCACCCTTGAACGCTTATTCTTCTCTGCATCCGACTCATCTTCGGATTCCTTCGAGGTAGGCTTCTTTGCCTTTGGTTGCTTATTCTTATCTGCATCAGACTCATCTTCAGATTCTTTTGAGGTTGACTTCTTTGACTTCAGTTGATTTTTCTTATCAGCAGACCCGTCTTCGGATTCCTTTCGTGCCGACTTATTTGCCTTTGGCTGTTTTTTCTTACCCATGCCAGGCTCATCTTTAGATCCCTTTGTTGCTGACTTCTTTGACCTCAGTTGCTTTTTCTTATCCTTCTCAGCCTCATCTTCAGATTCCTTTGATGTTGTCTTCTTAGACCTTGATTGCTCTTTATTATCTTCCTCAAGCTCATCTTCAGATCCATCTTTCTTATCACTGTCAGCATGGTCTGAAATCTCATCATCTGATCTGTCTGAAATGCCATTAGCCTTTTCTTCATGTTCATCTTCTGATTCATTTTCAGATTCATGTAAATCGTCTTTTTTCTCACCCTTTTTGGATGAACTCTCAAGCTTTGGACTCTGCAAAACAAAAGCAAAGAGACTAGTCACTAAATGCCAACTTGGCTAATCTACAAATGGTGATGAAGAGCAAGCTTCAGATTGGATGAGAATTACAGACCAATGCCAATTTTTGGGTAGAGTTTTTTTTTGGAGGGGGGAGGGGGGTGGGACTCTGTAGAGCTTAATTTGGGTATTTTCATGTTCTTCTCCTATTCCAAAGAAATTATACGCATGTTTGCTTAACAAGAATTTGAACTAGCCATGGATAAAGAAACAACAATATGTAGAACGGTTGAGAATGATGACTACAATGTAAAATTGATTTTTGATCAAAATAGACTACACAAACAGAACAGATTTGTGGTTAGGATTACAAAGAACATTAATTATATCTACTTTGAGCTCTTACTGAACATTCATCAAAACACATAACAAAATTGAGTCAGTTATACCTTAGCTGAGCCTTTTGAACTCCCAGAAGCTGATGATCCGCTTTTGTTGCTAGGCCTCTTACGCTTTCCTTTACTTGACTGCATAAGAGAAGATAAGAGTTACAGGCATAAATTGGGAAAATGAGATATGAAACCAAAAGATCATAAGCTGATGTGGTACTACAACCTGCTCTTTTTCGACAAGAAGCTCAGAAGTCGTAGCATGAGGGGCCTCCAAAAATTCCACCAGCTTCCACACTAAATCTTCCTGTGATCAATAAAAAACAAAGGGTTGCCTCAAAACACTATAGAACAAATTGATAGGGAGACAGCCTAAGCACAATTTCTAACAAGGATTTCAGTTCATTGGGATCTTGAAATTACACACCATGCATTAATAGTTTACCCCATTGGCTACAGTTTTAACAACTCAATGAAATCACTGTTTAACCAAAAAACACATTGCTGAAGTTCCAAAAAAATTTAAAATATTATACATGCACTATCTTTGCATTTACAAGGAGTATAACATACTCTCACGCATAAAAAATTCAAGCATTTCTTGAAAGTGGAAAGATAAAGTCACCAAACCTTCTTTGATGTTGTCTTGGCAACAGGTAGGTCAAGCACATCACAAAATTCCAACAATTTTTCTTTTACAAACTTGTCAAACTTTTCTTTAACTTTCAGCCTTTGTTTTTCCTACAGTGAAAACAATAACAGTTCATCACATAGATCCTTAAGAAATGTAATTCCAAATATATTACTGATGTGAAATATTTCTGCAACATGGCCACTCATTACCATATTCTCATGCCACACAAAACCAGAAAACCGTGACAAATGACTCTTAAATTGAGCAGCCTGTAAAGTTATAATAAAAAGGTCAAGACAACAATGATAAGCATAAATAAAAAAAACTAGAATAAGAAAATTTTACAATGATAAAAAACTAAGATTTAGAACATACCTTTCCTCTCCTTCCAAAGAGTATATTATGAAGCAGTTTGAAGGTATCTTCTGTCTTCTTTCTGGATAATTTATATGCCACTGAAACAAAATTTGTTTGGTGAAATTGTAAGACAGTCATGAGCAATTCAACAACATAGGTGCATTGTAGGACCTTGTAGAATGCAAATTTATACCAACTCTGTCCCAAATTTATTATCTCTATTTGAACAATGCATAAAATCTCATCTCTTTTAAAACTATTTTGTTTACAAATTGGCATAGAAATAATAGGTACAAATTACATATTTAAAAATTACATCAAAAGTTTTATAAAACACGAGGTTACAAGAATATTTTATTTTATCAAATGACCAATGAAAATATGCAAACAAAAGTTATCGAGAGACCAGAAGAGGAACAATGATGATAATTCTAGGACGGAGGGCGTATATGTACATATACATACACACACAAATATATATATATACACACACACATACATACACATGTGTGTGAATTGTGTAACGTAATGTGTGTGACCAACTAACTAACTTTTCATATGGCCGAGATAAACAAAAATGAGATATTATCACAGTTATTAAGGGCACAAGGCACATTTGAGGGACACCCCTTGATAAGGCGCAAAGGAGGAACAAGAGAAGCATATTCCAGATTAATAAGAAAGCTACCCAAACACATACAAAGCTAAATTCACATTAAAAATGAAGCCTAAATAACAGGTGATGATATAAAATTCATTGTTTGAACTTTAAAGTAATGTACAATTAGCAAATCTCATAACAAATCAAGCTTTTTTCTTCCATGGTGAAAAAGGTATTCAAAATATTTAAAAAATAATAATGTGCCAATATAATGTGTGAAAAGAGGGAGAGAGAAACAGACCACAAAAAACTAAGCAAAATCAAATACGACTATGCTGAATTTCAAAGTTAAAAATACCAGAAAGGGGCCAAAAGAACATACAAAAATACTAGTACAAACATATATGTAGCATAAGATAAAACAGAAAAGGGTAGGAACAACCAAAGAAGATGATGATGATAACTAAATAACCCTAGAATGAGTTTTTAGGTTATTAGTTACAAAAAAATTAGTCCTTGAGGCACGCCTCCGCTGCGCCTCACTTAGTGCACATAAGGCACTGATGCACACCTAGGCGCACAGCCTTCAATCATCACCAGCCTCATCCTTAGCGATGCACCTACCCCTGCCCCTCATGTGCCTTGTGCGCCTGGCGCCTCAGGCACACCTATAACAACTATGGATGACTAATATGACATTCTGATGCAGCAACTAAGATATGATAGTCACAATGAGTCATATTCATGATTGATATTACCATAAATGGATCTAAGAACAGAGAGTACACAAGTGCTTAAATTATATACCATTTGGAATGTCCTTGAGTGCAGTTCCACGTCCCTGTACATCACATTACATCAGTAACAGAGTTAACAATAGGCATGCCTTCACGTAGGTATGGAATCTGAATTTATTTAACCAAAAATTGAGGGAAATGAATAAAACTAATTAAAACACCTTTTCTATACGGAATTCCTTGGCAGAATCTTTCTCAATGGATGCAACAAGTCTCTCAACTGATTTTCGTTCACGAACAGGACGTTCAATTGTAGGCGCAGTTGGAGTTTTCGGAACTATCTCTTTCTTATCTTCAGTTGTCTTCTTCTTTTTTTCTTTCTCCACAGGATTACTTTTCAACTTAGCATTCTTCTTTGATTCTATATCAGCACTAGACCCTTCAATGGTATCACTTTCATTTTCATCTTTTGGCAGATCAGTCTCTTTTTCAGGCATCTCTGTATCGTCATCAACATCTTCTCCATCAACATCCTCATTTTCATCAACCTCTTTTTCAGCCATATCCTCATTCTCATCAGCCTCTTTTTCAACCACACCCTCATTTTCATCAGCCTCTTTTTCAACTAGATTTTCATTTGCATTAGCCTCCTTTTCAACCACACATTCATTCTCAACAGCCTTGTTTTCAACTACATCTTCATTCTCATTAGCCTCCTTTTCAACCACATCTTCATTCTCAGCAGCATTGTTTTCAACCACATCTTCATTCTCATCAGCCTTTTTTACAACCACATCTTCATTCTCATCAGCCTTTTTTACTACCACATCTTCATTCTCATCAGCCTTTTTTACTACCACGTCTTCATTCTCATCAGACTCTTTTTCAGCATCTTCATTATCATCAGCCTCTTTTTCAACCACATCTTCATTCTCATCAGACTCTTTCTCAACATCTTCATTCTCATCAGCCTCTTTTTCAACCAGATTCTTGTTCTCATCAGCCTCTTTTCCAACCTTAATCTCATTAGCCTCTTCTTCGACCTTATCCTTAGATTCGTCAGCCTCTTTTTCACCCTTATCCTTAGATTCTTCAGCCTCTTTCTCAACCTTATCCATACTCTCATCAGCTTCTTTCTCCACCTTATCCTCATTTCCTCCAGCTTCTTTGCCAACCTTATCATTAGTCTCTTCAGCATCTTTCTCCACCTTATCATCACTTTCAACAGCCTCTTTTTCTTCCTTGTCTTTAGTGTCATCGGGATTTTCCACAGCTACCTCTCCAGTCATTGCCTCAGCCTTGTCCTCCAGGTTTTCATCATCTTCCTTTACGCCCTCGTCTCTGTTTTCTTTTGTTTCATCTTTAATGTCTTTTTCATTCACATGCCCTACATCTACATCCATTTTATCCACATCAGGTGTATCAACATCCCTGTTATCTTCATCCATCTCCTTTACACCACTGCCGTCAGAATCTTTTTTATCCGCCAAAGTTTCACACTTTTCCACCATTGCCACATCGCCATTCACCATTGACTCGGATAATTCAGACGCATCTCCCTCTCCCATTGCTTACAGCAGCAAGACAGTACTGTTTCCTGGTACCAAAAACTAACACAGCAGAAAATCTAAGTCAGGATCGATGTAAAACCCTAAATTGCATGTTCTTGGGTAAAATCATAAGTCTACACATGAAAAAAAGATACTTTGACGATTTATTCGTACAGAGGCTAAAGTAACGAAACCACCAAATTAAGACAGTAATAAAGAGATCTACTTTCCCATTAATATCACTCGGGGCTCCCAGAGAACAGATTATCAAACTTAAAATCAATAAAACGACTAAAGATTCTTTTTTTTAAGGGAAACTAACGAACCCTAAGCATCAACACAAAATCATGCCCATCAAATCACACAGAGAGATCGAAAGTCTGACGCATGATCCAACGAACCACAGAAATCCATTTGAAAAATTAAAAATTCAAGAAAACAACAGAAAGAACTTACAGATGCTGCGAAGCTCAATCTCAAGATTCAGAACGATGGGCCAGCAATCGTATCAGAGCTCGTGTTTATCAACTAAAAAAAAAGTCACAATCCGAAAACGAGAAGTTTTGGAGGGTCGGGAAATTTTTTTGGTGTTCTTTATACCGCGGACTTGAAATCCGGATTTAAAATTTTGCGAATGGCGTGGCTGATAGTGGGCGGAATCTTGTGATGATGGGAGCGGATCGAACGGTGGTGATTGGCTTGACATTGGAACCAAGGAACGGTCAGGATTCCACCTTTCGTGCAACACTCGGATGATTAACCGGCAACTGGAAAACCCCACTCCCCACTTTCGTCCTTGTCTCCCCTTAATTCGGGGTCTTGTTACCGTTGACTCTATATTCGCTCGTTTTTTTTGTTCCCTCGTCCTATTTTTGTACAGGTATACTATTATTAGAGCTAGTAAATTGGTCAGTCAGTTCGGGTTCAATTACTTTGAGTTTGGATTATTTCTGGTTCGGGTCAATTCGGATTCGGGTTGAGAACTGTATGTTCATGACCCAGTGTTATCGGGTTCGGGTTGACCCAACGGGTTATGACTTTGGTTTTTTTAATTTTTAAATTTACATTAACACTTCCATTTTCTATTTAATAATTTTAAAATATCAAAAAAAGTATTAAATCTATTAGATTATTTTATTTTAAATTTTGAAGTAATTTTTAGATATATAAATCAATATAAAGAATTTAAAAAATGCTTAAGTTTTGGAAAAAATAAGATAGTTAGGCAATATCATTAAAATTTTGTCAGAGAATATAAATTTATACACCAAAAACGAGTAGTAAAGTGTATGATTTTGTAAAACTAGTATTTTAACCCGTGCGACGCACGGGGTGGAACAATTTTTTTTAAAAAAAATTAATTTCCAACCTACAACATTTTTCAAATAGCGAATAAAATAAAACATCAACCTTAAAAGTAAAATTAATGGTAAAACAAACTTTCTCCGGAAATGTTCTTCTCACTTTTTTTTGGTTCGTCCAGAAATATTTTTGTCATTTCCTTTTCAGTCTGCATTTTATAGGTAAATGTCAATAATGCTCTTTTGTTTTACCACTCATCTACTTTTTATTGGTTTTTAAGTAAGAAAGGGGGCTGTAAAATTGTAAAGTAGGGGAATTCTTGGAAGGTCGACACTTTTTTTCTAGTCTTAAAAAGTGAGTCAAGTCAATATGTGAAGAACAATTCTGAACAAATGGAGTATAAGAGTTGCTAATGGTAATTTTACTATATACATGAAAATTAACATGTCAAAGTCTCATATAAATTAGAACATTTCAAAATTTTTTTGAAGTATACAACAATTTTTTTGTGATGTTTTAAAGATTAAAGGCATCTAAAATTAAACTTTCAAACTTATATTTACTCTCACTCGTGAAACAAAAATATAAAATTAATCGTTAGCGAATTGGATTTGGTAAAAACAGTTTATAAATGACAATATTTGACATTAATTTTTATCAATAATCATAAAAAACATAAATTATTAGTAATTGTATTCTTTCAAACGTCAAGGTAATCATGTATGAAATAATACATAATTCATTTAGGTTGTGTAAACCTTATATTAAACCTAGTTTCCTAATGCTACAATTGCGCCAAAAACAATTTTTCGGAATTCTTCAATGAATAATTTTATACTATTAAATAATTCAGACAGTTGATTAATGTTCTTCAATAACATAAAGGATACAATTTCCTTTAAAATAAAATTACTTTGTGATTTAAGATTTACGGACGTTTGTTCTGATTCAAAAACTCAATTGTTATAAATTCGTCACTGATGGGCAAAACATATGATGCCCCCTCCCCGCGCATCAGTTTAGATTATCGAAAAAAGTGATTCCTCTCCCCCCCACAATAATTTGATTCTCCTCACCCGTATTGATTTTTAAAAATATGGTTATTTTTTTCCCGAATTAATTCAAGAAAATAGAACAATAATGAAATATTACGATCCTATGATTACTCTCCTTAGCAGCCATTTAAAAAAAGTTGGATAACCGACCTTTTGATTCAAAAAATATGATATTCCTATCTAGCATAGATTAGCGCGATTAATATAAAAATCTTTCTGGATAAGAGTAAAAAAGTCTGAACATACTAAAATATAACTCCTAAGTCTTTTAAGACCAAAGTAAGTTTATAATTACAGTGTGGTGTAAAAGTACGTGCTAACAGTATTGTAACACCCTAATCCGTACAGGTCTGCAGCCCCTTTGGGACTAAAGTATTTAACTTGGTAATCGTAAAAATTTAAAACTTTTCAAACACTTTTATTTATCACAATAATATTTTTCATAACACATACAGTACAGAGTATTCAACAATATTGCGGAAGCGAATTTAATTTTGACATATCATAAATCATTTCAAACTTGTCACATCCATCCCGACAATCTCGCCCCATCTGCCGCCAGGATCACATTAATCTTTCTGTTTAGCTGCGTGTAGCAAATAAAACACACTACACGCTCAGCGGTAAAGCTGAGTAAGCATATCTAATGCGTCGAACATCCACATAAATTGAATCTCGATTCATAATCAACCATTTGATATCATGCACACAATATATAATTCAAACATTCATGATATTCTCAATATTTTATTCCAAGTCATTTGATATTCAATATCTCAACAATGCTCTTAAATTATTCTTAATCTAAGGCCAAATCATTTCATAACAACTCTTAACTATTCCTAGTCTAA